TTTCGGAAACCGAGGGGAATACGGTATTTCGTCAAAGAATCCTACCTTATATAATTTGGTCGCGTATCTTTGTCTGTGTGTGTGCGGAGGTCAGTTTCGAGGCCCGATTTGAGGGCCTTCCGGGGTCCAAAATGCCTTAATTCTCCGTCACCCGGGGAATCCGGACCCCCTCTTCCGATGGCGCTTTCAGAATCCCGATAAAATACAAGTTTACAAAGTTAAAGCCGGTTTTATTGATTTTTGGGGGTCCGGGAGGCCTAATTTGCATAATGTGAAAAAATACAAATTTCCTCATTCTTGCCAGTGGCACTCGCGAGTTTGGTCGTCTCTTTGGATCTGACTCTCGATGCCTTGCCTTTCCCTGCCCCGGGCAGTCCTCTTGAGGCATAAAACGGATGTTTGACGCGTGCTGCCAAGCATTGCATGGTGTAGTGGTTAACGCTTCGCCCTGCTAATCTAACCATCGGAGGTTCGATCCCCGTATCTCTTGGTTTTTTGCTTTTTGCTCGGGAAAAAGCTAAGAATAAGAATAAGAAGGCTCAAGCTAGCGGCTCAAGCTAGCGCCGCAGGCTTTAGAACAAAGCCAGCCGCGCAAGCTGGCGCCGCAGGCTTTAGAACGAAGCCAGCCGCGCAAGCTAGCGCCGCAGACTTTAGAACGAAGCCAGCCGCTCAAGCTAGCGCCGCAGGCTAGGACGAAGCCAGCCGCTCAAGCTAGCGCCGCAGGCTTTAAAACGAAGCCAGCCGCTCAAGCTAGCGCCGCGGGCTTTAGAACGAAGCCAGCCGCTCAAGCTAGCGCCGCAGGCTTTAGAACGAAGCCAGCCGCGCAAGCTAGCGCCGCAGGCTTTAGAACGAAGCTAGCCGCTCAAGCTAGCGCCGCAGGCTTTAGAACGAAGCTAGCCGCGCAAGCTAGCGCCGCAGGCTTTAGGAGCGAAACCGGCCGCGCAAGCTAGCGCCGCAGACTTTAGAACGAAGCCAGCCGCTCAAGCTAGCGCCGCAGGCTTTTAAAACGAAGCCAGCCGCTCAAGCTAGCGCCGCAGGCTTTAGAACGAAGCCAGCCGCTCAAGCTAGCGCCGCAGGCTTTAGAACGAAGCCAGCCGCGCAAGCTAACGCCGCAGGCTTTAGAACGAAGCTAGCCGCTCAAGCTAGCGCCGCAGGCTTTAGAACGAAGCTAGCCGCGCAAGCTAGCGCCGCAGGCTTTAGAACGAAGCCAGCCGCGCAAGCTAGCGCCGCAGACTTTAGAACGAAGCCAGCCGCTCAAGCTAGCGCCGCAGGCTTTAAAACGAAGCCAGCCGCTCAAGCTAGCGCCGCAGGCTTTAAAACGAAGCCAGCCGCTCAAGCTAGCGCCGCAGGCTTTAAAACGAAGCCAGCCGCTCAAGCTAGCGCCGCAGGCTTTAAAACGAAGCCAGCCGCTCAAGCTAGCGCCGCAGGCTTTAGAACGAAGCTAGCCGCTCAAGCTAGCGCCGCAGGCTTGAGAACGAAGCTAGCCGCTCAAGCTAGCGCCGCAGGCTTTAGAACGAGGCTAGCCGCGCAAGCTAGCGCCACAGGCTAGAACGAAGCCAGCCGCGCAAGCTAGCGCCGCAGGCTTTAGAACGAAGCCAGCCGCTCAAGCTAGCGCCACAGGCTTTAGAACGAAGCCAGCCGCTCAAGCTAGCGCCACAGGCTTTAGAACGAAGCCAGCCGCGCAAGCTAGCGCCGCAGGCTTTAGAACGAAGCTAGCCGCTCAAGCTAGCGCCACAGGCTTTAGAACGAAGCTAGCCGCGCAAGCTAGCGCCGCAGGCTTTAGAACGAAGCCAGCCGCTCAAGCTAGCGCCGCAGACTTTAGAACGAAGCCAGCCGCTCAAGCTAGCGCCGCAGGCTAGAACGAAGCCAGCCGCTCAAGCTAGCGCCGCAGGCCAAAAACGAAGCCAGCCGCTCAAGCTAGCGCCGCAGGCTTTAAAACGAAGCCAGCCGCTCAAGCTAGCGCCGCAGGCTTTTGAACAAAGCCAGCCGCTCAAGTTAGCGCCGCGAGCTTTTAGACAAGCCAGCCGCTCAAGCTAGCGCCGCAGTTTTTAGAACGAAGCTAGCCGCGCAAGCTAGCGCCGCAGGCTTTAAAACGAAGCCAGCCGCTCAAGCTAGCGCCGCAGGCTTTAAAACGAAGCCAGCCGCTCAAGTTAGCGCCGCAGGCTTTAAAACGAAGCCAGCCGCGCAAGCTAGCGCCGCAGGCAGAACGAAGCTAGCCGCTCAAGCTAGCGCCACAGGCTTTAGAACGAAGCTAGCCGCGCAAGCTAGCGCCGCAGGCTTTAGAACGAAGCTAGCCGCGCAAGCTAGCGCCGCGGGCTTTAGAACGAAGCTAGCCGCGCGAAGCTAGCGCCGCAGGCTTTAGAACGAAGCTAGCCGCGCAAGCTAGCGCCGCAGGCTTTAAAACGAAGCCAGCCGCGCAAGCTAGCGCCGCAGGCTAACGAATAAAGCCAACCATTGAAGCTAGCGACGCAGGCTAAAGAAGGAGCCTTGCATGGGAGATGCGTTTTTCTTTCTTCAGGGTAACTTTATGTGGAAGGGCGCCGGGGTAATAGGGCCTAGACGGGGTCCAGCGGGGGAGAGTCGTGAAGCGCTCCTCCCCCGCTAGTTTTAAATAATTTTCCTTCAGAACCTCCTCCAAATGGCCCTAACGCTTTGGGGAAACATTGGTAAAGGCAACTATGCCTTCGACCCTCTAAAATTTTATCTGTTTTTCAATAAAATTGATTTATTTTCGGAGAAGTTAAAGTGTACCCCATTGCAAGTATGCTTTCCGGAATCGAGTAAGTTTGTTCCGAGTGGTTTGAAAAGATGAAAATTACGCATCTAGCGGCTACAAACTATGACGAGGCATTGGCGTATGTTAAGGAAATTTTTACGAATAGCTTTAAGGTATAACCTAAAAACTACAAGCTAAAAATCCCAATGGTTTAGGAGAACTATCCAAAATGGACTGATGGTTGTCTCTACACGATGAGTGCAGTGGATCCGAGTCTGGATAAAGTGGGTTATAGACTTAAAAGATTACCCATTGCTGAGAGAAACATGGGATTACAACTTCAACAATTATTTTTAGTTATTTTACATTTTAAAATATAGTTTTTTTGCAGAAAAATATGTCCTCAGTTCGGAACGCGATCACCTGGTTGTTCGTCGGCGCCACGCTGCGGGCAAGCGGCTTGTATTAAGGCGGATTTCATTCCGGATGAAGTTTTTTTTTGATAGTTTTGCTCAATTGGAAAAATATTCCAGATTCTTGCCCATCGATGCCAAACAAATTCGAAAAATTATTTCCAGTCATGCTCACGTATCACAGAGCCGTTTATTCCCAGAAAAGAACGAGACACACAAAAACGATGAGTTATGCAAAAAAGAGAGCGGTCGGCGGGGGCAGTGATAGGGCATCTGTGGGTCGCGTTTGGGGGTGAAGGTGATCGTTGAGGGTTGGACAGCTTCAATGGAACGGACTGCAGGTATCGTCGACGTTGTACTGCAAGGGAAAGGGATTAAAAAATAGCGAATCAGAGCAGGCTGACAGAAAGTGAGAGAGCGCGATAGGGAGAGAGCGTGGGAGAAAGAGAGGAAACAGATAAAGAGGGAGAGAGTGAGAGAGTGAGGCGCGAGATAGAGGGAAAGAGCGAGAGCGAGTGAGAGGGAGGGAGGTAGAAAACGAGAGAGAGATAGAGAGAGAGCCCAAGATTATATGGAGGTCCGTGTGCTTTAGTGGAGGGGCTGAGGTTAGCTTCTAACTATAGAAAAACTGAAACTGAAAAACTATAAAAACATCAATACAAGGATTTTTAAAAGTCAGTTGTTGTTTTCCACCAGAAAATAGAAAACGTTTGCCCCCCCCCCCATAGTTAACGACATCAGAACCAAAATAAATCAAAAGCGCTGATACCTGGAACATGCTGAGGCCCAGGAACACTTGTACGTCTTCTGAAAGACGGCCGATGGCATGATGGCGCCGTTGACCGCGGCGTAGTGCGCTAGGCGTGGGCCGTTCGGGCTGGAATATCAGGGTTTTCGATAAAGATTGATCTTTCCTTACCTAGCCTGCACGTCACTGAACTTGTCGCAGTAGGTGAGGGCGGCGGCGCGGAAGAAGAGGTCGTTGCCAGAGGCCAAGCTCCGAGCCGACCTGAAAGGGGGATGCTGCAGCAAGAGAGAGAGAGGGGAGAGAGGCGAGAGAGAGAAGGAGAGAGAGATAGGCATTCCTTACATCTATTTGCCAATCATCCACATTATTCGCGCCGAGATCAAACGCCAGCCGGGCCATCAGCAGCGAGTGCAGCCCCGTGTCGCCGGAAGAGTTGTAGCAGCGACCCTGGAGAAAGTAAGCTAAATCTGAGCACCCCGACCTCCTTGAACAAGTCGCAGGCGGTGTCGAATTGTGAGTATATACAGTCGCGCTTCTGCTCAGAGACACGAAGGTGAAGGCCCTTATGGCGGTCGGCGTAATCGATGATGTAGCTGGTCAGTGGGGCGAAGACGAAGCCAAGCTACGGAAAATGGTTTATCCATAGAGATACGGTAAAACTGAGAGCCTCATATACTTAAGGAGCTACAGACCAGAGCCGAAGTGGCGAGCGGCTTATCCTTGGCCATCGCCATGTACAGCACCGGGGGTGGGGTGCGCAGGTCTAAAAATCCGCAACTTTCTGATCTAAAAACCATTAATGCGTGGAGGATCTGAAAATATTTGCCGCGATTAAATTACTATAAAAAGTTGTTTCCTTACATCAAAAATTGTTAGAAAATTTTTATAATGATTATAAGTCTGGGCTTACTTTAGTTCATTTTCCTGGTCCAAGTGAGTTTTCGTATCTCGACTATTTTTTAGTCCTACAGAGCGGTCAATAGTACCAAAATGTAGCTCTAGCTCTGTAGAACCAACCCACAGTACATCTGAATCGAAGGCTCAAATCTAGGAAACCCCCCCCCCCAGCCGACTTTTCAACTTTTCTACCTTACTTATTTTTATTTTTCGCTGCTTTTTTCGACTCAACTGCAATGTAGTCTTACTAATTAGCCTACGGCGAACATTTTGGTATACTTTAGAGCTCGCTAGCACAAAGGGGCCGAGATACAAAAGTTGGTGCCGGTTGGGGGGGTTTCTAGACTTTTACCGAATCGAATCAAATAGCGAAAAACAAAATAATTGAGTTTTAGAAACCTGGTACATTGAGGCAGGGCGACTTAATATTCACATTTCAACTTGTAAAAATTTTTCTAGCAATTTTGGGCGTCAGGTAACAAGTTTTTTGCAGTAATTCAACCAGGGCAAGCATTTTGAGATGCTCGGTACACATAGGATAACGGGGGGAAATAACGGGGGAGCACTCAAACTTTTTATATGATAAAAGTATTTTTAAATAAGCTTTTTCGGGCTGTAAAAAAACTCTTAGTATATTTTTCGGTCCTCTATCGAATGGCATTTTCAAAATTTCGAAAATATTCAAAACGCCGAAAATTCCCCCCTGTTATCCTATGTGCTGCCCATAGTTTACAAAAATAGTTTTTAGGCTATAAAACTTTTATAATACATTTTTTCGCGTTGTAAAAAAATCTCTTAGTATATTTTTTGATGTTCTATCGATTCGCGTTTTCAAAATATCGAAAATCTCAAAAATTTGGTTTCCCCCGTTATCCTATGTGCTGCCCATGGATTTTGATCAATTTTGTTTATTCGATAAAAAATTTCATTTACATTATTTCGGGCTGAAATTAATTTTCCTAGGGCAGTTTTCGACGCTTTATCGAATGACGTTTTCAAAATACCGAAAATGTCGAAAATGTCGAAAATTTGACTTTCCCCCGTTATCCTATGTGCTGCCCATAGATTTTCCTCAATTTTTGTTTATTCAATAAAAAATTTCTATTACATTATTTCGGGCTGAAATTAATTCTCTTAGTATATTTTTCGACGCTCTATCGAATGGCACTCGCAAAATCCCTCAGTAATTGCAAATTTCATAATAATGAGTGCCCCCCCGTTATTTTATTCCCCCCCCGTTATCCTATGTGACCAGATGCTCACGCATTAATAGGACGTATGGCTGGAAGGTTAGGGCTGGGGGGTGGGGTAAGCTAGACCCTTACCCAGAGCCTTTTTTCACAATTCAAAGATACCCACGCTGCCCCTTCATAAAGTCCTCAAAGTAGTACTCGAAGGCGAGCTCGGCGGCTTTCTAAACCGAAAATTCTTGGAACGGCGACATTTCCAACACGAGCATGTGCGTCGCGCACTTCGCGACGCTCGCGGATCTCACGGTCCATCCCAAAAGCGGTCAGGTATTCGCCGTAGGTCTCGAGGAGTTTGTCGATGTTCTCGAGGTCTGTCGCGAGAGCCGTCACTTTGGTGCGATACTGGAAAGGCGTTTGGTTTCCTGACATCCCAAACCCACCTTGATCCACTGCGCCTCGCTGGCCGTGTTGTCGAAGAACCACAGCAGCTCGTTGTCCTCGTCTTCGGTCGCCATCTCGGCCCACTTCTTCGGCTCCTCCCCCGGGTCGACCATGAACTACGATAAATAAACAAGTAGACGCGGCTTATATCAGTGCGCTGATGGTCATCACGAAGAGTTTTTTTTTAAAGTGCAGTTTACCCCCGGCCGGCACCCAACTTTTGTATCTCGGCTCCCTGTTCATCTACAGGTGTTTTAAATATACCAAAATTTTTGTCTTGCTCTGGCGAGTATTTTGGTATAGTATACACACCTGTAGATCCACGGGCCGCCGAGATACGGTAGGTGGATGCTGGCTGGGGGGGTAAACTGCACTTAAGTCTATACATCAATCAGTGTGTTGATGGTCTTCACGCGGAGTGTGTTTTGAAAGCAGGCAGTCAAGATACCTCAGCCATTACGTCGTCAAAACTTGCGAAGAATGAGCCGAAGAGCGTGGGAGGTTTGCCGGTCACCCTCGAATAATCGAAACTACGGAAGAAGGGATGCTCGACACGGGCTCGGAGAAGGCCTAGAAGGCGGGTATCACGCTCTCTCTCTCTCTCTCTCTCTCTCTCTCTCTCTCTCTCCCTTTCTCTTTCGACTATTCCCTTCAACCCACCGATATGACGTTTCACGGCGGGCAGATACTGTGAGAAGGCGGGGTTTCTCTAAAACATTGTGAAGCGAAAAATCGAGCACCACCTCGACAAACTTCTCCCAGTGAGGATACTCCTTGACGGTGTCGCGCCACCCGTCGGCGGCCAGCGCGTCTTCAATCTGAATTCGAGTTTGAGGGAGGAGCAGAAAATCGCCAAAAAGCTGTCCAGGTGGAGAGCGAAAGCGTGAGAGAGAGAAAGAGAGAGAGAGAGAGAGAGAGAGTGTGAGAAAGAGATCCTATACCTTTTTTCAACTGCCGAATCAGCGTCAGCTTCTTCGAGTCGCGCGGGCAGACCTAAAAAGCAGCGTGCCCCCCAATAAGTTGAAGCTCCCTAGCTTCAACTACAAACTACATACATGACGGAAAAAGTTGTCGCACTCCTTGACGGTGGTGCTCTTGGCCGCCAGCGCGTCGCGGTAAATCCCGGTCAACACGCTCACATCGATGCCAAGGCTGAAAAATGAATAAAAATCTCGAATTTGCATCTCAACGCGGCAACAAGCAGCGAGAGCAGCCAAACGATGGGTGGGCGCATTTTGAGAATAATAGAGTTGGACCAAAAATTTTATAAATTAAAATCCTGGGCGAATATTCGAATTTTCCGGATGCAACTTACTTACTTAGGCCACGCTAAATTTTAAGGCGCCATCATTTCAAATGTTCTTGTAAATGACAGGTGCTAAATAAGTTATCCAAGCTGGCAAATTCGTTAAAATCGTTCTTCGATCTACCGCATCACCCACTCGACCAAATTTTTTCAAACCTAAAAATGGCAATACATTGTTCTGGTCTTCTTCTCACCCATTTCAGATTGCTCTGGTGCACGGTTATCAGCGTCGATTCCTGGCAAATAGCCAGATGCGATCGCTACGCGGCCGCGCCGCAGGACCTGTTGCCCTGTTTGGACGTAAAAACGCTTGGATTTAAAATTATGACGCTATTTCGGTAAATTTCTGTAATCGTCATAGAATTTTGATCGTTCTGGACTTTTTAATTTTCAAAATTGGCCAAAGAAATGACAGGGATTGAGAGATTGGGTGCCTTACCCGGGAATTACGACATGTAATCACCGCGCGCTCAAACATTGATTTTCGCCCCGAGAATATTTCCGTCTTACTTAAATATTTTACATTTTTCCACAACGAAATCACTTTTCTGGTATTTCTCGGCTGTGACCCTTTCGTTTCTTGACCAGTAGGTCCAATCCCCGCATGCGTGCAGTTTGGCTGCCGAACCCCTTGAAAGCTCCCGTTGTACCAGTCAAAACCAAGGCATTTTATTCATCAAACGAGCGACAACACACGTATTAAATTCGAAGAAAAAGGTATTAACTTTGGGCATCATTTGTCGGGGGTAGCAGCTATTCGGCGATCGGGCGGGGCTGGTGGAGGAGGGCGAGGTCGGTATTCTGGTAGGCCGGGAAATTGAGGGCGTCCGGCGCATCGGGGCCCAGTTGTCGAGGCCGGGCGGGTGGCTTTTGCTGTAAAAATTGAGTATTTAGGGTGCTTTTCCCAGCATAGCAGATGGTCTCTGCCAGAATGCCCTTGAGGCTAACAGTTCTGCGCCCCAATTTCCACAAAAATCACTGCTAATTTGCCTGAAGATCCGGTCAAGCTATCGAGAACCTTTAGTTCCGCAAATGATCTCTGCTAGTCTGTTGAACACGCTGGGATTTTCTTCAAGAATCGCAGCTAGTTTGCTATCTTGTCCGTTTCGGTCTTCCTCCAACGTTCCCTGTTTTTTTTCGCTTCCTATTTGATCTAGCGTGGCCAATGTTCGCAAGAATCGCTGCTCGTTTGTCTTAGTTCGAATCCGAAGTCCAGAATCTTTCTAGTTGTGCTCGATATCCTTCAAAAAACCCTGCTAGGCCGCCAGCGATTTCCCAAAAATCACTGCTAGCTTGCTCGGTAAATTCCTCACCGGCAATGCCTCTCAATCAACTTGTGCTTCTTCTTGTTGCTCTTCCTCGGGCCCTCAGCCTCCTCTTCGGGATCCAGATACCCGATCCCGGGCCGCGGCGTCATGATGAAGATCAGCTACAAAAAACAGTTCAACCCATGTCGCTATCTTTCAATACCTGGCGATGCATCGGCGGCACTGAGCTGGCGAGCACGTCGGCGGGGCGCGATTTGACGTACAGGTAGTTAGAGACGTTGGTCGTGTCCAGTTGGGCCTGAGTCGGAATCAGAATTCTGAATGTTCACCGACCTGCAAGTGACAATCCGGGTCCAGGTTCTCCAACATGACCATCGTGCCGGCAAACTTGTCGTGCTCGAGTTGGAAGAGGAAGCCCTGGGACTAAATGGGCCAAAATTTGAAATTTATTGGCCTATCAATTGTATATTCAATATATTTCAGATTTTATCTATATTCTCGAATCTAAAAAGATTTTACAAGCTTGTAAAAATACTTAGAAAAACTTTGGAAAGTGGAAATTTTTGTGATTTTGGCGTGAAAAAAATAGTTTTTTTTGGAGCTAGCAAAAGTAATTCTTAAAGTTCATACTTTCTACGGAAATAATAGGAGGCCTTAGAGCTTCAAGGATCTTTGCTAGTAGTCCTCAATTTTTGGCTACCTTCTCCTCGCCCTCCTCCGTCTTCGCCCGCACATTGCACGCGTACTGCCGCCCCTTGCGGGCTACCAGCTCGATCAACGAGTCGGTGTACATCAACGGCGCGCAGGGGATGAGCCGGGCGGTGAATTGGCGCTCACTAAAAAACCGGGTTTTTACTTTTAAACCTTTAAAAACGGCTGGACAGCGGGTTCTTTCAGTATTAGAAGCGCTACGTTACACACCAATGCACAACAAGCGCGGCTCGGCGCTTCTTTCCGACGACACCGACCAGTCCGAGCGAGTGCGCGATGATCACATAGAGGCCCTAAAACATAAATGAACAGATGTAAAAAAATTTCTAACCTTCTTCAGCTTGGTCTCTCCAATGTTCACCGCCTCGTCGGACTTCCACTTCGAGTAGGCAGCCAGCCGACCGACTGTGCCATCGCTGTTGACACGATGCACGCAGAGGAGGAGGTCTTCCTAAAAATTTCCGAGACTTTGAGATTTTAAAGGAGCGTTAAAGTCTAGCAAAAACTGCTGACGTTCAGAATACTGCCAATAGCGGCCCGGGGATGCAAATTCGGGACGGCGCGGCTTTTCGTGTTGTGCAGCGAGAGGCGGACGGTCGCCGGTTCGGGCAAGTCGATCAGGAGGGCACTGAGAATGGGGATTTTGGCTGACTCTCCCTCACTCTCTATATATCTCTCTCGCATTCTCTCTCGCTCTCTCTCACTCTCTCTCTATCTTTCTCTAACTCGATGTATACCCACTTATCTCGATGATCAAAAGCCCCTCCAATCCACAGCGGGACACGCAGCACGCTCCAGGTCGCTTCACTATCCAAGTCTTCGGCAGTTGGATAGGGCACGATGCGAACCCAATGCACCAGCGTGTAAAGGAAGTCATAACTAGAAGTACAGTGTGAAAAAAGCTCAAATAAAAATCGATACCTGATCCAGTACATTCCGGGGGGACACGGCTTCTCCCGTAGCAACCGATCGGTGATGGATCTCGGCCAGTGACTGAAGGCAACATTAAAGGGACGTGTAAGGCAGAATAGAATCCTGAGAAGGCGGCTCCGAATAGAAGAAGCCCCACCCAAACGTGACCATTCTCGAGCTGAGGTCTTCGAAAAATGCGGGCGGATCACGAAGGAGGACGGCACTAAAAGGTGAATGCTAGTAATATTGGTGCAGAACTACCGGTGGTCACGATCCCCTTCCCAGGCGTCTAGAAAAGCGACGGCGTGCGGCCTGAAAGGCTCGAAATCTCTCTCTCTCTCTCTCTCGCTCTCTCTCGTTAGGTCCCCATCCTTACCATGGAATCGTGGTCCCACAGCACACCAGATGATCCTCAAGACTGGGCAGCACCACTCGGTCCCACACCATCTGCCGGCTCAGCTGCTGGTACGGCTTGTCGGTGTGGAAGACGTCGCACGGCTTGCCCGTCAGAATTGTCCAACCGAGCTGGAGGCTATATAGAGGGATGTAAGGTATCAAAAACTGCCTAGTACCTTCCCAAAACGAGACGATCGTACGAGCCGAATGCCTTGGCGACAGCTTTTTCCACGAGAGCGACCCAGAGCTGGAAAAACAAATCTATCTCTCGCTCTCTCTCTCTCTCTTTCTCGCTCTCTCTCTCTCTCTCTCTCTCTCTCTCTCTCGCTCTCTGTCTCTTACCTGTTTCCGGATGAATCCGGCAAACAAAGCCGGTCGCTTCTCCGCCTCGATTTCTTCCGGATCCTCAGGCACAAATGGGAAATACCCATCCACCGTGATGATCTTCCACTCGCCGTCGATGCAAAACCTCCAAACAACAATTTCAAGGAGTTCAGCAAGGGCATACTGCAACTGGTAGATGCCGGCCGGGTTGTACTGCTTGGTGATGAAGATGTCGTCGATCAGCTCCGGTTGCTTGGCCATCGTGCACAGGACGGCGAGCAGCCAGCAGTCGCTCAGGCGGCCCTAGACGGACAAGGTAGCCGCTTCTCTCTCTCTCTCTCTCTCTCTCTCTCTCTCTCGCTTACCCTGCAGAACATCAAGTGGAGACGGGTTGTCGAACAGCGCCCATTTCTCGCCCTCGTTGCATGGGATTCGATCTTCCGGACGCCGCCAGATCGCTCGCTAAAACAAGATTTTCTGGCGACGTGTCCAAGCATCAACCTTTAGGCTGTCCTCATACTTCTCGCGCCACTCCGGCTTATCCCGAGGGTAGTATCGGTTGAGATCACCCAGCGAAGAGGCCGACGGGGCGAAGTCCGAGTCAATGAAGGGGGTGCTGGACTCCCTGAAGTTGATGGTGTCCCGAAAATCGATGAAGACACTCACTCGTACTCGGCCATCAGTTTGACGAATAATCTCTGGGCGGCCCTCAGCTGCTCTGCGCTGGCTCGGTGTTTTCCGGGGCGATGGTCGAGCACATCGTCGGTCTAAAAAGTGGCGCTGGAGTTGTACAGCTACATATCTAGTTCAACCTACTTAACTTCACGGTTCTGTTCTATTTCGCGTGGGGGAAAAAACTGTGCTGGCGGGAAATTTTCTTCGTTTTTTTATAACTCTTTTATATGATGCTATTTTGAATTGTAATTAAAACTCTTAGTATATTTTTTTCACGCTCTATCGAATGGCATTAAAGAAATTTTTGAAAGTTATCGAAGGTGTCGAAAACTAGCTTTCGACTCCACGATCCTATGTGGAAACACCGAATAAACCTTGTTTTTGCTATAACTATTTTATAAAACAGTATTTTTAGATCAAATTAAAAATTTTTAAGTTAAAAAAAAGTTAAATTTTCAAATTAAAAAAACTCTGAGTATATTTTTTGATGCTCTATCGAATGACGGGTTCAAAATATCGAAAAACTGGCGAAAATGCCGAAAACTAACATTCCGGAACCAGTTTCAATAGTTTTTTTTTGTTTTTGCTATAACTTTTTTATATTACAATATTTTTAGCTAAAACAAAAACTCTTAGTCTCTTTTTTGATGCTCTATCGAATGGAGTTGCAAAAATCCCGAGAAAATAGCGAAAAGATGGAAGGTTCCGCGAAGCATATTTCCCCCCCACGCGAAATAGAACAGAACCTACAGTAGACTCGTCCACAACGATGGCATCGAGCGGGATACGGTAGGGAGGGGAGAGCGGACCCTGAAAAGTCAAGGTAACAGTAAGCTAAGCCGAAGTCAGGTCATAAGCTGCTCAAGACGGAAATTAACCTTTGGCTTAAGTGCAGTTTACCCCCCCAGCCGGCACCCACCTGCCGTATCTTTGCTCCCTGTTCATCTACAGGTGTGTAAAGTATACGAAAATGTTCGTCTTGCTCTGGAGAGTATTTTGGCACACTTTACACACCTGTAGATGAACAGGGAGCCGAGATATAAAAGTTGGGTGCCGGCTGGGGGTAAACTGCACTCTAACCTAACCTTTTCCGGCTTATCGCATCGACAAGACAAGTAGCGCGCAGCAGCTGTGACTAGATTAACATATACAACGTTCAGAAACGGTATCCCACAATTCTGCCAAATCCAGCTGGGCGTGCAGGTGAAGTGCTAAAAAGCAATAAAGCGTCGAAAATTAAATCACTACCATGTGTGGCGGATCTTCAATTGGCTCCCGAAATTCCAGCGCCATGCAAAACGGCCGAAATGGGTACGGTATCCGGAGCGCGGAAGAGCCGCGACTTCCGCAGCAACAGGTCGAAGGAATGATTTATCAGTAACTTGTAGCTAGTCCTCAAGCCTGTATGCAAATTGTGAAGTCATGAAATTATGCAAACCTTACGAGAAGTGGCTCTAGCGATCTTTTAGCTTCACGCTCTCTCTCGCGCCCTCTCTCACGCTCTCTAGTTATCTCTGTCAGTCACTCATTCTCTCTTTATTTCTAGCTATCTCACGCGCTCTCCATTTGCCACTATGATCTTTTAACTTCATTTATTCATACAAAATTTTATTAATGCGTCTTTGCAGGTTCCCCAATGATCGCGGCTATGTCGCGGCAGATTCCGGTGGCATGCGCGGTTGCTTCTGATCCATTTACAGTAGTGGGAGACATCGGTGTAAATGCCTGTAAACGTGGAAGTTCTCAAATTCTGTCTCTCTCTCTCCGTCTCTCGTTCTCTCGCTCTCTCTCCCTCGTGTGTCAGCTTACGATTTATTCCCGACCCATCGCATTCACCATCATAATTCGTCGCCATAGCCACGAGCACGTTGAATTTCATTCCTGGTGGCTGCTTGGCCGCCATCAAAACCACAGCCGGCGCCCCCAAATCACCCTGAAAAATCGTGAGCATGACGAAAGGACAGGTTTCCAGGTTTACGAAGCTGCGATAGCAACGCGTACCCAACATGGTATTGCCCTCTCTCCATCTTGAGAGCAGAGAACTTGCTCATGGTACTCCTCCCCGACACATTCGGTGCTGCCGCTTGGCAATGCGAGGCTGACGCCTACACTTCGGAGATCGCGAGAACTAATGTGTGATCCGTTGTCTGAAAAACTATATAAAAAGAGGAAGCGCAAGAGAATGAGATTCAGAGAGAGACCGAGAGAGAGAGAGCGCTGGAGAGAGACAGAGACAGAGGGAGAGAGAGACAGAGAGAGAGCGCTGGAGAGAGACAGAGACAGAGGGAGAGAGAGACAGAGAGAGAGAGCGCTGGAGAGAGACAGAGACAGAGGGAGAGAGAGCGAGGGACAGAGAGAGCACCCGGGAGTGCAAACCTTCTCTGATGAGCCCCCATCCGAGCAGTGTCGCTTCGTAGGCCCCCGTAGCGTCTAGAGGCGCCTTCGGATCCGGCACAATGACGGGCCAGACTTCATCGGCAACACGTTCGAGCGGGTTTTTCAGCTAAAGTCGTCAGATTGCTTTTAAGAGGATCGTGCTCCTCTCTTCGAATTTCTAAAAGCGACCCTACAACTAATAGAGCAACGTCGTTGACGTGGAATTTCGCGCTGTAGACGTCCTTCGGGTTCAAGGGATTCGGCCACGTTGACTCGACACTCTTGAAATCGTCATGAACCCAGATTCGGGCAATTTCGCGTTGTTGCTGGAAAATATGCAGATGCAGTTTGATCGTCGTGCACTTACTTCACTTACATTATGTAGGGAGTGGGCGCGTATATCTGCGACGCCGGCAATGATTTTCAACTCTGACTGGGGCCTAAAGACATTAATCAGGGGCGTAGCCAGAAAAAATTTCGGGGAGGGCCCACGAAAAAATTTTTGCGAAAAACTCAAAAAATTACCGTGAAATTTTGGAAAAAAGGCTTTATAGCTCTACAAATAGCAGTAAAAACGTGAAAAAATACCGCCGCAGGCAGCAAAATTTTTGAGAAAATAAAAATCGTAAGGGTCCCCCCTTATGAAATTTTCGGGCCACGGCCGATTTCGGAGGGGGCCCCGGGCCCAGGGGGCCCACCTTACGCTTCGTCCCTGAAAGTAATTATCGGAAATTGTATTAATGGAACGGGTTTGGAATCGAAAGTCAAGTGGTACTTAAAGGAGCTTAGAAACCAAAATTCGTGCGTCCGGGGAATACCCTACTGGTCAAAAAACGAAAGGGTCACTGCCGAGAAATGCCAGAAAAGTGATTTGATTGCGAAAAAACGTAAATGTTTGAGAAAAATCGAATTCTTTTTGGGGCAAAAACGACATTTTGAGTGCGCGGCAATTACATGTCGTAATGCCTCATAAGGCACCCAATCTCTCGATCTCGGCGATCCTCTGGTCAATTTTCATAATTTAAAAGTCTGGAATGATCAACATTCGTTGAGGATTCCAAAATAGTATCAGACTTTTTAAAATTCAAGCGTTTTCGCGTCGAAATACAGGCAAAGATCATGCGGCGCGGTCGCGTTGCGACTGCATCCGGCTATTTGCCAGGAATCACAGCAGGGGGGCCGTGGACCAGATTTCGAAGCCCCTTTTAATTTACAACGTTAAACTTTTCATATTCTGCTGTGATTTAGTTAATTTTATGACACCTACACTCCCTGGACGCATTGCGCTGCCGTCAAAACCGTGTCCTTATTCATAATCGATCCGGTACAGCGCTGATGCCAAAGCTCGCTAAATTTTCATACCACCTTAACAGATCGATAATTACGAGTCATTTGCGTCTTGCCGCATGACCGCCACCACAAATGGAAACGCTTTTTAGGTCGTGGAGAATTTCTCCATTACGAATTGGCCAAATGGTCGGTAGGTTAATAAAACCAGAAATATGAAGATCGCCACGGATACTTGCATCACTTGTGATTTTCGTAATAAATTCTTAGACCCATTACAAGACCTCAGGTTGGCACGGGGTTGAATTGATTTCGACCGGACCCTCCATTGGCGAATATTCGGCCCCAATACTTCTTTGGCAACTGGAGTGAAGCGTAGTGGAAAACGAAAATTTTACGTTTAACGGGTTTCTTGATTTTTTATAGTTAAAGCCTAAGTTATACAAAATTTTGAACTTTGCTTTTTGCAAATTTGAATCCTGTTTCAGCCTCTTCAGAGGCTTGTCCATGACCCCGTATCCTTGATACGATGTACACCTACCGTTTTCCAAGAGAAAATATCCGGCTGCGCCTCAAATTTCCGGGATAGGCCAGACGGGGCTTGAAATTGATTTCGGCCGGACTTACCGAAAATGAACTCTATTACCTTATTTTCACTAGTTATTGCTGCGCTTCTTGCCTTGCACAAGGTAATATTCACTTGATGTTTGCCAAAAATATTCATTTGCGCGTTTCGGTAAAAAAATCTTGCTTTATACGACGAGATTAAAAAATTATGGAAATCTAAAAGCGCAAAATAGGCCCAAACTTTTCGAATTTCGAGCAACGGTTGCCTGTGCATTGAAAATTTTCAACAATTCTTTAATCTGGGCATCTTGCCGATTTTAAAAGCAACATCAGAATAAGCGAAAAATTGTAGGCGAAGGCTCCCGCGTGCGGAAACTCGATTGTCTCTAAAAATCGGTGTTTCCGTGTAAGCGGGGGAGCAAGGCGAGTTTCTTAATTAAGCGTATCCTACATAGCAATAAATCAAAATCTAGTTCAGGAAGGTTTTTGGTAGTTTCTGAGCACCAAAACACTGTGAAACTTTATCAGAACATCTTATAATTTTTTCTTGTATCCTAAGTTTGTGCCCAAATTTGGTTATTTTTCATATGGTTAGCCGCGAAAAGTCATTGTTTTTTTGAAGGTTTGTTATTTTTTGAAAACGCTTGCATATGCATTATTGTTGGTCGTTGAATCAAATCACTGTGAATGCTATTGAAAATTGCTTGGCTTTAATTACTTCACCCCTAAAACGCCTTCGCAAGAAAAGTCTTCCTTGCTCCCCCGCTAACACAAAAGCAACAAAAGGCGTAGGAAGCTACAGACGTTTCATTTCTAGCCGGCGACCCGATTGCCGCGTTCAAGGCCGTCGACAAGGATGGTGACGGAAACGTCACTTTTGATGAGGTGCGTAGCGAGCTGATGGCGCGAGACCGTGGTGTTCCGGATGGAAAGGCCAATTCAGCGTTGAGGGCCGAATTCTGGGCCGTGGAGAAAACTCGCGATCGCAGGCTGAACCAGCAGGAATTTGCGAATTTCTACCCGGCGTTTAAAAAAGTATGCGAAGGAGGCGTGAGAACTGCGAATAAAAATATGCATTGAAAAAGCGCGCAACAATTTATACGGCAAAAAGGATAAATTCCGGTGAGAACTTCAAAAAAATCAAGGTTTCTTCTATATTTATAGGCGATCCAAGTCTCGGCATACAGTAGTTTTTGAAGCCGTCTCGATCCAGCTACAGTAATAGCTGGTACTGATGAAAACACCTAAAATGAGATCAGATTGCTATAAAAAAATTGCCATACCTCTATTCTCCACATATTTACAGTCACTATCACCGCTGCTGATGATTCCGTTTTGAATCCACAATTTCTCGCCCCGTTTGGTGGTCCAGGGCACGACAAGCGGGCCCCCGGAATCGCCCTGAAAAAAGTGTTTTAGTGTCGCACGTAGCTGTCGAGACCCAGTGGGCTGATTCTGTGCCTTCCCAGTCCCTTTAAAACTCCGATCTTACATACCAAGCATGGCCCAGTCCCTCGCGCTTCCCCGCAGACGATCAGTTCGCCAACCGAGCGGGGCACGATCCATGCCAAGCATCCCTGCGGTGAGTACATGGTGATGTACGTCGACTTCAGCTCGTTAGGGCGGGCAGAGTCTGGGAATTTAAGTCCAGTTTCGTCCTTCGATACCAGAATATGAAGTCTTGCCTACCCTTCGAAGTCTGGCCCCATCCCATCACCTTGGCTTCGACGCCGGCCCGCTCAATATTCGAGTTTTTCTTGACAATGGTGGTCGGCCAAACTTGACCTCGGATCAGTTTTAGTGGTGTTGTTAACTGAAAGCGCGATTATGGAGGAGGTTCTTAGGTTTGGCTGTTTCTTAGTGGAACCGTTCCGTTACAAAATTGGCACAGCATTAATTTTGTGGATTGGCATTAATTTTGTCGATTTTTGGGACAGCCTGCACAGCCTGTGCGCGCGCGTCGCGGCTGTACAGCCCCCTTTAGTGGGCCGCAGGAACGTTCGATCGGGTTGATTTTTACACCATTCTACAGCCAACGACGAGTAAACAAACGCTTTTTTGTTTTACAATTTTTTTGCCCGCGCTCGAATTAACGGATTTCCTAAAAAGCGCAAAAAGCAGCGTCGTGCTTTTGCTTGCACGAGCAAGTTGCTACGGATTTTGCATAAAATCTACAGTTTTGATTTTCGTCCTAAAATTCGTTAACTAAATGGCTTATTTTGAAGAACTAAAGTGCTTTTCTTCTCGGCTTTCCGAGAGCTTTTGCTAGATATCTACATCCTCAAAACCGTACATTTCTGCGGCCCGCTAGTGAGGGCCCGATTTGTTTGGGACACCTTGTGGTCAAATCAAAAACAGTCTAAACAATCTAAGCCGGAAGTCGTCCCCACCCCTAAGTTTGCCTTATAAACCTCACCCTCAAGAGCGCAATATCGGCCTTGCGAAACGGCTGCTCCGGGCTGATCGGAACGTGGCTATATTGTTTATGGAAGACAAAGTGGTCGACGTTGACTTCTTGCTGAAAAGTGTTTTGTAATTTAGATCAAAACATCTCCAACTCGAACGGATGATTTCGTCTTGATTTCGGTGGCACCGGCGAGGACCTTCACCTGCATGGGTTCGCTAAAAAATTATTTTTTGTAGCTAAGGAAATTAATTAACGCATTTCGATAGGTCTCTTTCTAAATAAATTAACAAACACGTTTTGGAGGCAATGCGCAGCCGTCAGGATCCCAGTTCTCGTCAATGATCGAACCGCCGCATAAGTGTAGCAAGGTTTTGCTAAATTTTCCGCGTTAAATTGTGGATATTTCTTTATTATCTGAACAATATTTTCTTTAAAAAAATAGTAATTTACGGGTCCATCGGATTCTTCTGCATCAACGCGACGACGAACGGGTTCTCGACCATATTCTTGACGACATCACCACCCAGGATTTCGCGGCGCTCGGCTATCAGGCTAATGAGAAAGGATGCAAAGACTAGAACATGGAGCCAAACCATGACTTTACATATTGTATGAAAAAGTCCAGGGTTTGCTTATATAGTTTTTGCGTTCCATACAAGTTTGGCGCCTCTTCAAAAAGCATCATAAAGCATTTGTCGATTTTCAATGGGCTTTTAGGCTGGTGAAAACTGTAGTAGAGAGAGGCTAGACAGCAACTAAGCCGATTTCCGGTGAATTTGAAGAGTGAATAGGCCTGACGATGTGGACAGTATTGTGTGCGTCCGAGTGCGCGTTGCGTGCCGCACTGCGCTCGCAACGCGCACTCGGATGCTGCTCAAACCAAAAAAAAACTCCTAAAAGGCTGTTTTTAGGTAAAATTCAGCAAAAGTAGTTGTTTTTCGAAATCAAAAGACCATCTTTGAGATATATGGTCAGCTGGCTGCCGCCTGGATCCTACACCACTTGGCGCAGCATTTTCGCGTGGGTTTTCTCACTGATTTCGTTTTTCGTTTTATTTGGTTTTTTTGATTTCGACTTTTGACTGATTTCGTTTTGGTTTTTTTTAGCAAACCAAACTCAAAAACCACTCAAATACACACGGGTATTCCCAACTTAACAGACTGGCTTTAGACGAACGATATCGGTATTGTAAACTTATGCAGTAGAGCAGCGTGATTGTTTTGAAAATGTTGGCTTTACTGGGCTTTTGGCGGCATGGTGGAACTGAGCGTGAAACGGATATGTTTTATTGTCTTTTTTTAGAAAGTTGGGCGAAAAATGGAATAGCACTTAAAGATTCGCATCACCATCGTCAGCTTATCACAATTCATTCATGTCATGGCAAAGGCTTTTGATATTTGTCTGTTTCTGGATCCATTCGCAGTAGTAAGCTGTGTTCATGTAGGTGCCTGGAAAGGTTTTGGACTTCACACACTCTCTCTCTCATTCTCTCTCTCTCTCTCTCTCTCTCTCTCTCTCTCTCCACTCTCTCTCTCTCTCTCTCTCTCTTCCTCTCTCTTCCTTTCTCTCTCCCCCTCCCGCCCTCTCTCTCTCTCTTTCTCTCTCTCTCCCTCTCTTTCTATGTCTGGCTCTCTCCCTCCCCTATATCTCTCTCTTTCTCTATCTCTCTATCGTTGCGGTATCTCGTTTCAAAATTTGCCAAAATTAAAACACATCCAAACCTTACCCGTTGAGCCCTCGTATCTTCTGTCTCCCGAGCTAACGACGAGTCCGATCTGCGGGTAATACCTCCTTCCCTGTGATCCCCTTAGGTGAAGAACCAATGGCCCTCCAGAATCAGCCTAAAATCTGCCCTATACTCTCTGTGTACTGCCTCCATCTCGGCTCTCCAAAAAACAACCTACTTTCAAAGGCCCGGTTCCTCGATTCCCGGCGCATATCACGTATTTTACATATCTCGCCGGCAGGTGCGGCTTCGATAGGCGACACCCGGCGTCCGTGTAAATATCGACAGCAGTGCTCCGCAGATCTGGGGATGTGTCCTCACCTAAACATTGTCAGGTAATTGTACTAATGCATCGGAAGGAACCAAGGCCCGCAGGAAAAGGAAAGGTACCTGGAAGAATTAAGCCCATTTTTGCTAAAAAGGCTTTTTAGCAAAATCAAACTGAGCTGAAAATCTAACCGCGATGAGTGGTCGCCGACCACTCAGGTTTCGAAAACCACAAAGAAACGTTTGTCGAGTATAGGCGGAAAAATTTAACGTCGAACATAAATTTCCGGAATAGTGAACGTATTTCCGACCTGGAGCAGTTCTTCCCCAGCCCATCACGACTGCCCGTTGCCGTGGCTGCTTGAGCACAATGTTCGGCTTCACCAGCAGTGTCGGCATTGCCTGCTTGGATTTCAGGATGATTGGTGTCTCGAGCTAAAGAGTGTCGTAAAATCGATACTTATAGGAAGCGGTCCGCCGTGGTCTCTTTTTGAAGTTATGTGATCCAGGTGATGATTTTTTGTAACTATTATTGACGTAGTTTTGAGGTTTCAAGTTGTATTTTTGAAATTATGTTTCTCGAGTTGATGACCTCGCTCAGCTAGCATCTTCGCTGGTCTAACCCATACCTTAATCAGCCCAATATCAGCTGGATCGTAAGCTTTTCTCAACTCGACGTCATGCCTGGGGTGCGCCACAAACTGCGACGCACGAATCAGTTGCTAAAAAGCGCCTACAAAAAAACGTACTCTATGGACTGACCCGCTGTGACGAGTTATCGCGAATATTAGCCACCCCTGCGATTATTGTTACGAATATCGGCTTGCTAAAGTGAGCAAACGAGTCTGAGGCAACAAGGCGTGGTTTTTAGGTGATCCTGGTCGATTTTCAGCAATTTTGGTCCCCGCTTAACAAAATTCGAACTTTGAGAAACTTATTCTCAAAGTCCGTTGCCGCTCAGCAGTTTTTGAATGTTGGGACTTGTTTAGAATTTTTAGTTCTATCGAATGAGCTATGTCGCCTCGCAAAATTCCAAGATCACCTAAAAATCACTTCTTGGAAGAAAAAGAGGGGAACTCAAATTAAACTTACGTGCCATTAAAACAATGTGCAGCCGTCAGAAGCCATTCCGCGTTGACAATAGAGCCAACGCAGAATTGCTCCAAACCGTCTCTAAATTTTATGGTAGTCTCCACAAAAAATGGCCTACGGCTCTTTAAAATTTCGCTGCATGATTGCGACGGCAAACGGGTACATGTTCATATTTTGCACGATTCGACCGTTGAGAATCTTTTGATTTCTTTGCAGGGCAGCTGCGCGGTCAGAGACCTTCAAAACGGCATATAGGAGGAGCAGAAGATTGTTCCAAGCCATGGAAAATATAAGCAGATCTAGTTTTCTGTTCCCCCAACCTTCACAAAAATTCAATAAAAACTGCTTTATTGCATTATAAATATAGGCACCGGCCCCTGAATGTCCCCTCTGCAACTTTAGCAAGTGCTGCGTTACATCTGCTTCAGCTGCTTCTTCAGATTCAGTCACCATGCTTGCATCTCCCGAGGCGTGCTTCGCGTCAGTGATAACCGCGTATCCGTCCGAGCAATTTTGGTCCAATATTATAAATAACGCTTCGCCATCCGCCCGATCGATCCGGTAATAGACGATAGGAAGCAGCACAATGTCCTCAACGCAGAATCTGGGGTATTTGTTGAGAAATATGGGGGCCGAGTCGGCGTCAAACACCCGGCCCAGCGATATCTTGTGGATTTCACGATCGCCCCTATTCCACTCCTCGATAATGGCTTGCATATACCGTAGCGGTCAAAAAGATGTCCCCTTGGGAGATCGCTTGGTGCTCGTAAACCACAGGCCCAAATTTTATGAAACGTAGTGTTTAGGTTAATTCGGCTGCGCAAAATCCGATGGCAACATTGAAATCTACTGAAAATTTGATTTTAATGGTCAAACTTCGATTTCAAAAAATCTTTAAAAATAGACTTTTTCATGAGGGATTTTCGGGTTTCAAAAATGTGTCCATCGTGTTCGCAAGAGTCGAAAACCAATAGTCTGTGATTTTACGAGACTTTTTCTGCCAGGGCCTGACCATACTGACGGCCGAAAGTTGCTGTCGCGCGGGCCAAAATCCTTTGGATAGGCTTACGGGGGCCAGGAAAGCGCCCCGCGGCTACAACTTCTCGGCCTCATGGTAGCGAACCTCAAAGAGATAAATGTTTTGAAACATGTTTGAGATAGGTTTTGGACCCTTGCGAACACGATGGACACATTTTTGAAACCCGAAAATCCCTCAGGAAAAAGTTCATTTTACCGATTTCTTTAAAAATTAAAGTTTGATCACTAAAATTAAATTTTCAGCCGATTACAAGTTCACCGTCGGATTCTCCGTATCAAAATTGACCTAGACGCGACGTTTCATAAAATTTCGGCCTGTGGTTGACGAGCACCAAAGGATTTCCCGAGGGGACATCTTTTTGACCGCGACTGTAGACTTCAAAGGTTGGGTCTAATAACTCGAAAGACCCGAACCGCATCTTCGGGATCTTCAGGCGAAGGAATTCGAGTGGAATCTCCCAGCAAAACGCCTAAAACTCGTAGGCATTATTGTTTAGCCAGTCTAACAGCTCGTCACACAGCGGAGCGGGTTTTGGCAGCCCCAGCCGGCGATATTTTCCGGTCGGCTTGTGGACCTCCAAATCGGTAAGCGAGTCGTCGAGCCAGAAGCTGAGTTTGAGGTGGTGCGCGCGGATATCGATTTCCTCCTCAAATATATCCCTGATCCAAAAACGACCGCCAATTGTCGAATTATCGAAAATCAGCTTAAAGGACTCCATCCAGTTTTGGAAGTAAATTGTATCGTGATCAGGCATATCGCAGTAAAACGTGGTCATGTCCTGGCTCTGGGTGATGTCTACGTCCCAAAATTTGTCGCGGCATTTCTTGGCCAATTCGAACGTTGCTTTGCTTGTCATGGCCGTGTTCCAGAAGCTTCTAACATCCATGTTTCGTAGAATGTTGTGCGGTACGTCGATTGGGAAGTGCCAGAAGTCGAGTTGCATCTGGAAGTTGAAAATGTCGGTCTACTAGGGCGCATAAAAAACAAGAGAGAGAGAGGAGAGAGAGAGAGAAGGAGAGAGAAAACGAGAGAGAGAAAGACGAAGAGGAAAGAGTAACGGATAGCTATCTCAATCTTACCTCTAGCGCTAAAGGCAACCTAGGAAAGCCAAGGACCTTTCTATTGATCGACCCGGCCCTTTCTGGGCAATTAGCATAGTGGAGAGATGCGGAAATTAAGCCTCGTGACCTGCAGATTTTACCGCAACGCCTCCAGCCCTCTGGAGCCCCCGGGGGCAGATGACAAAAAAAGGGTGGGGGGGGGGCGTTTCACGAAAGCTCGAAGCACTAACTAGGGAAGCCCGAATAAACCCGGACACAGAATTGAATGAAAATTTGCACAGAGATAGAACCGACCGCGCTGATCATCACCTCGTTCTCCAAATTTGCTACTGATCTTTAAGACTCGAGATATGCCGCTTTTAACGTAATCCTTTAGTTAAAATCGTCAAACCTCGAGCTCGATTATTTTGATCATCCCGGCAGATTTTGTAAAAATAAATATCACCATCGTATTTAAAAAATTTTTCTTTTTCGAATGAGCGCTTTAAATCAAAATTTTCCAAAAACCCGAAAAGTTCGACTGACGGTAGTTAGAAGTAATGAAGGTAATGAAGGACGATAGAAGAAGGACTTCGCTTTTTTTGTATGGGAAATAGTTAAAAACAGCCTACTTCCACAGCTGTAAGACGTCGCCTAGATTGAATTTTCTTTTTTTGAGAATTGTTTTGTATAAGTATTTATTCTTCTTCTGCCCAATACTATCATAAGATGTTCGCATCCTGGCAGACCTCGCGGCCCACCACCTCCTTGAACCACCCGCAGCGCGGCGGCAGATATTCGAAACTCTCTGAAGGTAGGATTAGTGCGGATTTTACTTATACATACCTGGATGGTCTTTCGTGGTACACGATTCCGTCCTGGCGCGTATGAGCGCGATTTGGACCCAAGCTACCGTGTGTTTTTGGCTCACCCACGGGTGCATCAACGGGCCTCCGACATCGCCCTGTGAAGCAGAGAATGGCTGAATTTCGAGTGTTGAAAAAAACCTGACATATCCCGGGAAAACTGGTCGGCACGGCACAGAAGTATCCAGGCGACAATTCTAAATCGTTTGAATACTGTGACAGCGAGGAGAGAAAGAGAATGAGTGTGAGAGCGCGTCAAGAGTGAGAGAGAGATCGCGAGAGCCCGAGAGAGAGTGAGAAAGAGAGGTAGAAAGGGACAGAGAGAGAGGGAGAGAGAGTGACAGAGAGAGAGAGAGAGAGAGAGAGAGAGAGAGAGAGAGACAGAACAGACACCACTACCAGTAAGGCTTTCGCATCCCGATTCCCCATTCACAAAAATGGCTCGCAGGCGCTCCTTTGGATCTGAAAATCAAAAACCCGATGCCAAATTTTTTAATCACGACGGGGAGCATTTTTCTGAAGAGTCTCCATTTACTTACCGCTCCCAGGCTGGCCCCAGCCCAACGCAGTCAGGCGCTTTTTGTCCTGCTCGAATTTGTGTGCGTCCTTGGCGAGGAACACTGGCTGCACGCTGTCCCCGAAGCTGAGCGGCTCTTTCAGCTAGACTTCAATTTTGAAGGAGGAATGTGGTTGCTGACCCGAAGCAGCGCAATCTCGGAGTTCGTGAGCCATCCGCCAATACTGGATCTTGGGAGGGCTGCGCTTCTCGGTCACCCCACGCTTTGCTATTTTGTGCCGATGATTACTTATATGTGAGGGAGTGAACCTTGAGAAGTGAAGCTGTTCTCAGCTCAGCAACGCCGGCGATGACCACCAACTTGGTGAGGTCACTAAAGAATTCCGGGCAAAATTCAGCGATTTTGCTTTGCTAGCTCTTTCTCTTCACTTCCTCATTTCACTCACCCTCACACGATGTTTTTAGCTCTCTTCCTCTCTCTCTCTCTCTCTCTCTCTCTCTCTCGTTCCTCACACTATGGATGACCTACACTTCCGCGACGCATTCAAGTGAAGTCAACACCCAATTTTTGTCGATGATCGTGCCACTACAGTTGTGAATTTGTTGCCATCTAATTATATGGCATATTACGCTTAAACAATAATTCATACGGTTCTCCCTCCTTCTTCTCCATAATTGCCACCATATAGGGGTAGTCCTTGATGTCGTTGACGAGCTGCTCGGCCGGAATTTCGGCATTTACGCCGTAGTTTGACGCCAGCACTGCCAAAAGGATTGGAGCCAGCATGTTGACTATACGATTTTTGGGCCGCTACCGCTTTTATACATACACTGTTTTATATTGAAAATTTATACAGTTTGGAATCTTATTGCTTTGCGGAAATAGACTGTCTATCCGTCGCGTTTTAGCCCTGTGGAATGTGAAGAATTTAGATAATAAAATATGCGGGTATTTAAAGATAGGGAGAGGGAGAAAAAGAGATGAGAGAGAGGGCGAGAGAGGGTGTGAGAGACAATGAAAGAGAGCGAAAGCGTGATTTAAATGATTTTTATAGTTTTTAGAGCGTTTAATTCGAGGTTTTAGGGCTTTTGGTATACCATGCGAAAACAATTTATTTTTGCGCGCCTTTCACAGGCTACTGACATCACGGCACACAGGATGTTCGACGATCTGCTCCATCCAATTGCAGGCATCAGTGAGGTTTAGCAGGGACGCTGAATGTAAACTGTGAGCAGAGAACGTCCAAAATTTTATATCCCGCTTCTGCATTATCGGAGGTGGAGGGTAATTTTCAGGCTAAACTCCAGATAACCCCCCAGCCGACCCCACCAGTCTGGTTCCCTGTTCATCTACAGGTGTGTAAAGTATACCAAAATACTCGCCACAGCAAGACGAACATTTTGGTATACTTTACGCACCCGTAGATAAACAGGGAGCCGAGATACAAAAGTTGGGTGCCGGCTGGGGGGGGGTTATCTGGAGTCTTACCAATTTTCAGATCGAAACTTGTCAAAATTTTACGCTGAAGTATGACTTCACGGGGTTGCCGATAGAAAAGATTTTGCCCAGTGTGAAAAAGTGAGTGTTCCCGCCCCTGCCCCCGATAATGCGCAAGTCCCTTTATACGACAAAACGCAGCTTTTAGTATCAATAATCATCACCTCCTTTGGCGACGTCACACTGTACCCTGCTGCCGATCATCCCAATCTGGACCCATACAATCTGGTTGCGACCATCGAGCAATGGAAACATTAGAGGGCCGCCGCCCTAAAAGATAAGAACATAAATATTGCAGAACGCCAGGAAAATATAAAAGAAAGGAAAATCCATACGCACTGGACATGTACGGCCGGAGAAGTTTGTGGGCACACCGCAAGTTTGATAATAAATGTGCCCGTAGGTTGTTGCTAAATTTCGGAATTCTGAAGGTTAACGTGCAGTTTACCCCCCCGACTTTTGTATCTCGGCTCCCTATTCATCTACAGGTGTGTAGCGCACACCAAAATGTTTGCCTTGGTCTGGCAAGTATTTTGGTATATTTTACACACCTGGAGATGAACAGGGAGCCGAGATACGGCAGGCGGGGGAGGCTGCGGCCGCAGGGTAAACTGCACTTAGGCCATTCTGAATTATTTTCTTGGCCTAGCAATTCCTAGCAATTTCTTAGTGACAAACGAGCTTTGTGGAGAGTTTTGCGCTAATTCCGCAAATTTTTGGCGAAATGACAACTCAAGAGTTTTGCGGCCACTTTGTAATTAAAACAATCAAAAAATAATTTCAATTTTTTCTAGCCAATAAGCTTTTTAAACCGGAAAAATAAAAACATGGGTAATAAAAAATTTACCCGCGTCGCAGGAATCGAGAGCTGCCTGCTGGGTGAACTCTGTCATGTAGAGTAGCTCGTTTCCACCTAAGGAATTTCATAAATAGACGAGAACACGTGGAAATCGTTGAAAAAGATGTTTCACTGGGCTCAAAATAGTCCTAAAAACAGCTTATAAAAATCAGCACCAGCGGACAGATTTCGGCCTTAAATTTACTACCCACCTTGGCTACGCCCGAGCAGCTTCATTCGGGTCGAGGGGTTCTTCAGCTTTTCCGAGTTTTTCGGCACGACCACTGGCTGGGCACTATTCCCAAAATCGATCGGTTCTTTCAGCTGCAATTTTTGGTAAGTTAATGGCAAAAAGACAGGATTTACCCGTAGCAACGCGAACGCCACAACATGGGTGCGCTTCTTGACGACTGCCCGGACTTGCTACTTAATCAATATCGAGAACCTTTTGGAGCACGGACCTTAAGTTCAGAAGTGGTGCGAATTTCGGAGGTTCCGGCAGTGACCACCAAAGTGCTGATGTCGACGCTAAAACGTGCTTTTTTGAGGATGCATTTGCAAATTCATTTAAGAATTAGGCGTGAAAGCGTCATGATGGGAATAGTTGTCTGTGCCAGAAGCGGAAGCTATCTAAACCTGACAACCTCCTACCTATCTGGCACACAAGTCGCCGGCACCACCACCCAATCCTTGTCGACGATCGACCCATCGCACTTATAGTCTTGCTGCCATCTGAATGTTTTCATCTGCAAGGTGTTCCACAAATACATCCCCTCCCCCGGATCTCGCGGTTTACAATTCGGAGGAGGGTCCAATTTTTACGATTCATACACCAATCGAACGGCGATGATAGATAATTTCTCTGGCTCACAATCTTTATATTTTTTTTGGATTTCCTAAAATTTTTGCGCAGCGGCCGAACTCGCGATGCTTTTCCGATGAAAGGGTTTTAGCAAAACCCATAATTTCCGGATTTTTACGTTTTTTTGGCATCCCCAAGACGTTCACGGCTATTTTTATTTGATTGAAAGCTAAAATGTCGCAATCTCATTTTCACGAGATTTTTCGTTGATGCCCTTCCATATACTGATCACGGGGTACGGTCATTACTTCTAAAATCATTACTTCTAAAAGTCATTACTTCTAAAAGTCATTACTTCTAAAAGTCACTACTTCTAAAAGTCATTACTTCTAAAAGTCATTACTTCTAAAAGTCATTACTTATAAAAATCATTACTTCTAAAAACGTTACTTCTAAAATTTGGTATGCCGGATTACCACTTTTTCGGCATATTTATGCCCAAAAATACGCTTAGAATTTTAGAAGTAACGACTTTTAGAAGTAATGATTTTAGAAGTAATGACTTTTAGAAGTAATGACTTTTAGAAGTAATGATTTTAGAAGTAATGATGGGTAACCTTTTCTGAAAATCAATTGAATTGAAAGCTTAGAACACAGCTTGGCTAGCGCTTAAGCCAATAAATAGAATTTTAAATGCATTAAAATGGCATGCAAACTTCCCAAAATCAAAAGCAATCGGGAATTTGAAAAAATTTGAGGGAAACTGGGTTATCGAAAGTTTTCATTCGATAAATATACATCAATCGCAAAAATTGGGCACTCCTGCGGACCGCTAGAGAAGAGATGCGGTAAAAATTCGCAACATACGGCTGGCTCTCATTCTTCTGGGTGATTGCCACAATGAAGGGATAGGCGGTCGCCTCTTTGATCACCACCTCGGGAGAGCCGGTCAGCTCGACACCGTTGTGTGCATTTGCCGCCAGGATTGGCAGCAGGAGCAGCGGAATTGAAAAGAGCATCACGAAAATACAGTTGGGCGCGAGACAGGCAGGGCTTTTATAAAATCGTATAGCAAATTTATGCAATAAGCCCCGTATTGCTTTTGGTATTTTCGGTACATGTCTGCTTTTTGGCGGGGCTTTATTTGTATTCAGAAATTTATTAACCTTAAATCGTCTGGGTTATGCAGCTTTTCGAGAATACGGTAATTCAAATCGAAGTGAATCGAAATGAATTTTTGGTTTCTTTTAAACACGTCATAGCAAATCCAAAAAATACGAATATGACCAGCAGGACATTTCCGAAATCCATCAAAAAAAAAGGGAATATGAACTTTGCAAGCTTTTGTTTCGCTCGATCGTCATAAGAAAATTTACGCCAACCGTTTTTAGCTTGATATCGAAAAAAATAGAGCTTGAAACACGACTGGTTTCTTAGCAAACTGTAGAACCTACAGTAAAGCATGTTAATATTGTAAAAACCTATTTTTAGTCCCCGGCGTATTAGAAATACCTATATTCCTATATATAAAAGTATTCCTCGAACCACAACAATTTATTCTCATCGTAACTCCGCCAAATCTTTGCACAAATTCGGGATCCCCGTCTGTTTCTGCACCCAGCCGCAAAACCGGGCAGCGTTCATGTAGGCGGCTGAAAAAAAGACGAAAAAAAATCATAAAAAGGCTGGCACAAGGGAGAATTGGGGGCTAGGCGTCTACGAAACAGTACTATAGTGTCGAAACGAAAAAAACCACGCACCAGATTTTCCGTTTTGCACACACGTCGATGAGCCGCGGCTGACGATGCCGATCTGGGGCCAGTGCTTCTTGCCACCAACCTTGACGGTGAGGACGAGGGGGCCACCGGAGTCGGCCTGAAAATACGACAATTTACAAGGAAAGATGCGGCATGCCGAAAATCAAAATACCGGCCGCAAAAAATGCCGAGGTTCAGAATACCGACAACAGAAACTCCGAAATTCAGAAATTCGACAGAAAAATGCCGACGCTCAAGACATCGGCAGAAGAATCCCGACACGCAAAATGCCGACACCCACTGGAATTTAGTACACATTAATTAGCCTTTTTGGATGTCAGCAATCTTGGTGTCGGTATTTTCGCACGGGGCATGCTGGGTCACGGCGTTCCCGTTGTCGGCATTTTAGATGCCGGCATTCCGCTGGGAATAAAAGCTTGAACGAACGTTTAAAAGTATTGAGACGACAGTCTGTTAAAATGCGAGAGGTTAGAAACACAATACGTTACAGTTCTCTATAATAAAGTTCGTCAAATCATACCGGACAAGGTCCATTCACCGCCCTGCCTCCACAAAGAATATTTTGCGCAAAAGCCCTTCCGTAAATCGAGTGGCAACTGGCTTCGGAGTAGAGGTCGATGGTCGTGTAGCGGAGGTCTGGTGATTTCTTCGGGTCTGCAAGGATGGAAAACCAGAGAATGGAAAAGAGCTTCTAGCTCTCACTGCGTTTTGTAAAAACATTGGCTTTTTAAGTTTCATGCTGCTCGCAAGTCGTTGTTTTTAGATGCATTGGAAGTTTACGATGTGGCATAGCCCATTCGAGAAAGCAGCATTATCTTGGAAGAATTTGGGAACGACTCTGGCCTTCAGAAAATTTGCTGTGAAATGCTGATAAATTAATGCTGTTTGCCCGGCCCTTAATAAAATTCGAATTTGAAGAAACGTTTTTCCACTTCGCTACCGGTCCGCACTTTGCCAACATCGAGAGCAATATCAGGCTCAAGGCTATCGATTTAAGCAATGATAAATTATCTCCAAAAACCCAGAAGCACCCAAACTTATTTTACCTCGCCCAGTTCTGCCCCATCCAAAAACCTTCGCCTCCATCCCGCCTTTAGTAAGCTTCGGATCCGGTTTTAGCAGAAGCATCGGCCACGCAACTTTTTTCGTTAGTTTCACGGGCGTTTTTAACTGGAAAGTTTAAGAAATCGACGACTACCAGCCTCGTCCAACCTTCAACAACGCCACATCAACTTGCTCGTAGTTTATTTGCTGCTTGGACTTCCGGTTTTGGTACGAAACGTACTTGCCGTGGATCACGAATTGGGCTACTTGAACTATTTGCTAAAATCGGGGGGCTATGATTGCAATAACTTTTTTTTCTACCCGCTGCGGCGTCTGGCGACGTATATTTGCGGCTCCGGCTATAATTACCATGTTGGTGGGGGAACTGGAAAGTGGATGATGGGGCTGATCTTTTGAACGGACTACAAAGAAAGAGATTTGTTACGGAAATGCCTCTTGCAAAGTACAGGGTGTCCCAAAAAAAAACGACCCATCTGGCGTTTTGCCGTGTTACATCCAAGCGGCCCCAAATTTGGAGCAGAGGTGTATCAGACCCTAAATAACAACAATCCTGACTTATAGCCCTGTAGCTATCGTGGTTCTCGAGTTATAACGAAAATACTGTTTTTCACGCAATTCCAAATATTTTTCGCCATCTTTTTGGATTTTGCATCGATTTGCATCGACTTCCAGCTGCGAATCCCTTATTTCGCTGAAGACCTTGGGTAATTTTGCGTTGTAAAAATAGCTTAAATCAAAGCTTATTTGATTAATCTTAGCCCCGGAAAAAAATTCTTACGGTAATGAAGGCCTACCTAATCATTATCACTTAATGTTTAGGGGACTTAATTCCACAAATCCCTATGAAAAATCAAAAAATAAAGTTTGTTTTTGCTATAACTCGAGAACTACTATAACTACGAGGCTCTAAGTCAGGATTGTTGTTATTTAGGGTCTGATACACCTCTCGTCCAATTTTGGGACCGACTGGATGTAACACGTCCAAGTGCCAGATGGGTCGTTTTTTTGGGACACCCTGTGTATGAAAAATTACTGTTGATCGGTGCAATGGGCGGCAGTCAAAATCCAGTATTCATTCAGAATCGAACCCCCGCAAATATGTCGCAGGCCGTCGCTAAAAATTGTTCAGCCAAGACGTTAGCCTCAAAAAATGTTTTCTTACGGTGCCCTGGTATCTTGTACCATGATCGCCACAACAAATGGGTACTTCTTCGTATCAGTAGCAATTTTCCCATTGGAAATCTTTAGCCGTCTACGGGGTCCTTGCTGACTTAACTTGATGAAAAGCCCAAGCAGCAGCAGGTACAAACTCCAATCCATAGTGGCGAAGAATTTGCGAATTCAATCGCAGGCTGCGGCGCATCCCCGCAAAATCAATGGCGCTTTTTATTGCTTTTTGAAGTAGGCTTGGCTTCTCAACTTTTATGATCCTAAAAAAATTCAAAACGTATTGAAAAATTAATGGCTTTGAATTTTTGTACGCTTCAGGTAATCCACATCCCTTTTGTATGCCATCCCCCTTTTCTGACTACATACCAATTTCCCGCAACCACTACTAAAGCACAGAACTGCTAACATTGATATGGCCTCTCTCTCTATCTCTCGCTGTCTTTCTCCCTGTCTCTCTCTGTTTCTCTCGCTCTCTCTCTCTCTCTCTCTCTCTCTCTCTCTTTCTCTGCCTCTGTTTCACTCTATCTTCCGAAACTCGTACTGTAAGATTTCTCGGATAATTTCCGGTTCCGCTTCGAAAGAAAAACGCGGAACATGCAAATTAGCTAAAAATCCCAACTTTCAGGAGAAACCTCTGTTTTCCTTCCAACGTAAAATCGAGATCAAGTATAACAAAATTGATATATTCCAGGTCACACAGGTCTAACGTCCATATCTTCTCAAGCTGTCAAAGTCGCGGCAGAGGGCCCTGATATTGGTCATTCTCTGCACCCAAGGACAATAGTGCGCTGCGTTCATGTAGTATGCTGGAATGGAAAATGATTCTGGAGTTTGAGTGCCGGGCTCTTTTGCATTATCGGTGGGGGGGGGGCTCGACCGGGATGCGGTGAAGCCGAATTTATGTCGCTAAATGCAATATGGAAAAACTATTTTCCTATCGAAAAACTCACAAAAATAGAAAAAATTAGCAGCACATCAAAGCTGTCTAGGAAAAATTCTCGTGTTCAAAATTAAATCCGTAGCAAAAAATCCAGCCAAGCCCCGCCCACCTCCCCCCCCCCCCAGTAGTGCACAAGAACCGAGTTCAGGCATCCCTTTCAGGTTCAAACATACCCAGTTTCCTGCTATAATTACAATTTTTCGGGCCGCGACTGACGATGCCGACTTGAACGTAATACTCCGTGCCGAAGGCATTCACCGGAAGTATCAGCGGCCCGCCAGAGTCGCCCTGAATTCCGCTACTGTACGGTAGAACTCTCGAACTCACTAGGCAAGGCCCTGTGTACCGGCTCCAGCCGCAAATGATGTTTCTGGCGTACGAGCGGGGTAGGACGGCGTGGCATCCACCAGGCGTCCATAGGTTCACCACGGTGCTGTAGAGATTCCATGCCGTTACATTCCCTAACATCAGGTTGTCGTGGAAGTTTCAAGGGCTTTCTAAAATTCGAAATGGCATGTCGAAATTCAGAGTGTCGACATTTTTTTTGCCTAGGATTCGGTGGTTTTACAAGGAATACTGGCTTATGTAAATTGCGTCATTCTGAATTTCGACATTATGACATTTCGACATTATGAGATTTCGACATTATGAGAGTTCGATATTATGAATTTCGGTATTATGGATTTCGACATTACAATTTTCGACATTTTGAAAATAACCCGATTTGGACGACGCTTAAACCAATTAAGCTAATTTTTTAGAGAAAAACCTGTAAAGACGGCATGAAAAATGCGCGTAGAATGTTTTAGAACTTAAAAAATCGGAGACCAGTACTTCTTAGCTTCTTTGGGACCTTTCGATAGAAACCTAACTCGCAAAATCGAAAACGTTAGGGGATATTTTTGGAAAACAGTAGTATTACGTAATAGTCCCCATCCGGCGACGATTCCCCGAAGATTCTCCTGTTCCATATAGCCGTTTAGGGCATCCGGCATGACCAGTAACGTCGGTGTCGTCTGTTTGGCCCTCATTTGGATCGGGGTTGCTAGCTAAAATGTGGAGCTGG